AGTTTTGTGAATGCTTTATGTATCTTGGATATTAACCCTTGGTCAGATGTATGGTATATAGATATTTCCTCCCCTATAATAGGATAACTTTTTGTTTTATTGGTAGTTTCTTTCATAACATAGACACTCTGGTTTGATGTAATCTTAGTTGCCAAATTTTGCTTTTGTTTCCCTTGCCAGTGGAGTAGTATCACTTCAGTTACTTCAGATACTACTGAATTTAAAATCATGGAGTGATTTTCGCTTGATTAATATAACATTGCAGTATACTCTGAAGGCAGGGAGTATGATGCCACCATTTTTTTTAAAATCCCAGGATTGTTTTGGCTACTTGGGTTCTTTGTGCCATACAAATTTAAATGATATTATTTTATTTTTTGAAAAATATCTTTCCATTTCCGTTTGTCTTCTTCAGTTTCTTTCAACAATCTCATAGTTTTTGATGTATAAGTCTTTCAACTCATTAAGCTTATTACTACATACTAATTTCCTTTTGATGTGATTATAAGTGATTTTTTAATGGTTTATTTCTTTTCTAGTTCATTGCTTGCACATGTAAATATAAAAGATTATTTTATATTAGTTATGTAGCTTGATACTTTGCTGTATTTATATTTCTAATAATTTTTACTGGAATCATTCGTCTTTCTTTTTTTTTCTTTTTTTCTTTTTGGATCACAACTGGCGATGCACAGGGGTTACTATTGGCTCATGCACTCAGGAATTACTCCTGGCAGTGCTCAGGGGACCATATGGGATAATGGAAATCAAACCTGGGTCGGCCGCATGCAAGGCAAATGCCCTACATACTATCACTCCAGCCCCAGGTTTTCTCTTTTTGGGCTGCACTGCCAAGAGGCACTCAGGAAATCCTACGGCGATATCTAGCCAACTGTTTGGCACTATGGTGCTGCAGGTCTCCAGAGCCACACCTGAGGGACCCTGTAATGCCTGAAATCAAACCATGATCAGCCACATGCAAAGCAAGTACCTCTACCTATACTATCTGATCTCAATATTTTCTATTATATTATCATATCATTTGAAAAAGGTGATAGATTTTCATTTGTGTTTGGAAGAATTCCTCTTTCTTAACTTTTTCTTTAATAATTTGAGAAAAATAAGTTATCTTTGAAGGCTCATACTAATTTGCTAGCAAAATCATCTAAGTCTGAACTTTTGTTTTGATAATTGATTTGAATTTGGGAGACTTTTGATAATTGGTTCAATGTTCTTGATTGTAATTGTAATTGGCATGCCCAGGTTTATTCTTTCCTTCTGATTCAGTCTTGGATGTTGCATGATTGAAAGAATTTGTCTGTTTCTTCTAGCTTATATTCAACTTAGTAAAATAACAATTTGTGGTAGTCTCTCATGATTCTTTGCATTCATGTGATATCTATTGTGCCTTCCCCACTTTAATATGTGACCCTATCTATTGAAGTTTCCTCTAATTTTTTTTTGTGAACCTACATAGTGGTTTGTAATTTATCTTTTGCATTTTCTTTTGATTTCATATGTTTCTGTTCTAAAATAAATTTTTTCTTTTTTTTAACATATTTTGCATTTGAGATTTGTTACTTTAGGTTCGATGTTCAATTATTTGAATTTTTTTCTTATTTCCTGAATATAAGAAAGTCCATATTCTTCTTAACATTACCTTTGCTGTATCCTTTATGATAATCTCTGTATTTATTTTCATTTGTTTCCATAGATCTTGCTCATTTCTTCTTTGACTTCTCCATTGACTCAATAGTTATTCAGAAGTTTGTTGTTTAGTTCAGATATTAGAATTTTGGGGTGGAGTGGGGATCCTCCCAATTAGTGTACAGAAGATCTGAGGTTCATTCCCAGCAATACTGGTCATTCAGGATGGTTCAATGCTAGCGCCTGTGGATTCAATGCTGCATGGGCATTGCACTGCTGAGGACCACTAGGGCCACCCAGTGGTGTTCAGTGGCAGTTGAGGACATAGTAGCAGTGCTTAGAGGACCTTTTATACCCAGATGTGTTTAGGAGCCATTCAATGCCAGATGATCAAACTATTTTGCATGGTTCCTTGACCCCTATGCTATCTCCGCAACCCCATATGTCAAAACCTTTTTCCAGTTCTTTTTGTGATTGTGCAGTTTTATATCTTTGTGATCTGGAAAAAAACCAACCCAATATTACCTGAATCTTCAAGAATTTATTAACACTTGTTTTGTGTCCCAGCATGTGATCTATCCTTGAGAATGTTCAATATGTACTCAAGAAGGCGTGTTCAGCATTTGGGGCCTGCAGTGGAGAACCCTATAAATGTCTATTTGTTTTGTTTTGTTTTTGTGCCATACATAGCGGTGCTCAGGGCTCCTGGCTCTGTGCTCAGGGATCACTTTTGGTGGGCTCAGGTGACCATACAAATTGTTGGGAAGAAATCTGGGTTGATCATGTGTGATGCAAACACCCTGCTGGACTATGGCTCTATGGCTCTGGCCCAGTAATGTCTATTAAGTCCAGCTCATTCAGTTAAGGTTGTTATTTTCTCCTTAATTTTCTGTCTGTTAGATATGGTTATTGATAGTTGGGATGTTGAAGTTCCCAACTATTGTGCTGCTGTTCATATTTCCAGGTCTTCTAATTGCTTTTTGTATTTTTATGCTCCTTCATCGATGCACATATTAATAATTGTTAACTCCTTTCAATAGATTGCTCCTTTGGTCATTATATAATGTCACCTCTGACTCTTAATATCAGTTTACCTGTTTTATTTAATTTTGGGGGGGAAGGTGTTGGGTCATACCCAGCAGTGCTCAGAACTCACTGCTGGCTCTGGGCTCAAGAATCACTCTCGGGGGCTGGAGCAATAGCACAGCATGTAGGGTGTTTGCCTTGGACACAGCAAGATTCCCAGAATCCCATATGGTCCTCCAAGCACCACCAGGAGTAATTCCTGACTGCAGAGCCAGGAGTAACCCCTGAGCATTGCTAGGTGTGACCCAAAAAGGAAAAAAAAAAGAATCACTCTAGGCTGGGCTTGGGGGATGATATAGAATGCTGAGCATCAAAGCTGGGTTGACAGCATGCAAAGCAGGTATCCTACCCACTGTAATTCCAGCCCCCATTTACCGTCTTCGCTAGGAATCTATTTTATCCTGCTTCCCCACTGGAAGAGTTAAACCATGATTATTAGGTCACATTTTCCTTAACCCTGCTTTGAATATAATTTTCAACTGAAAAATGAAATCCACTTGCTTAAAAAAAACCCTATGGAAAAAACAAAGAGATACCTCTGCTGGCACAGTATAAGACTAGCAGGGACAAGCTCTGAGTACCTTAACCTGGAGTATGGCAAGGTGTGGCCATGGTGGCTCTGAACACCCTCGGGCCTGGCAGTACTGCATCTCTGGGCCGAGCATCATCCCAACTAGCACTATCAACAAAATTATATCCCACATGGAATATCACAAGAGCCATGGTACTCCTTCAGTTCTGAAATTAAATGCTAAAGCTGTGAGTGATGAGTCAGTAGTTTGAGACCTTTTGCTCCACAAATGAAAAAATCTTTTCTAATCAAATGCCTCATGGATAATAACATGTAGTTTTCGCATTTTCCAATTTTCTAATTGTTCCACATTTGTGCTGGCTATTCTGAAAAAAGAAAGCCTATGTTTACAGCATATTAATTGCTGCTAACATCTCAAATGCTTTATATTTGATAATTTGTCTTTAAAATACAGTCATGGGCGTGAGTGGGGGGCTCAAGCATACAGAAAGTAGTGATAGGTGAATGCTTTTATGCTTAGCAGCGGTTCTACCAGCGTCTCAAGTGAGAAACATTCTGCTTTCTTTTTACAGGGCTTTGATTTAACCAAATTCAAGGTAGTGCTGTGCCCTGCTGGCAGTCGAGTCTCATTGCAGGTAAGCAGCTTAGCAAGTGCAATGGCGTTCGGTGCCAGCCTTCCAAATTCAGTTTTCCAATAAAAGGGCTCTTTACAATACCCACAATTAACCTGGCACCATCTTACACGAAGGGCTTACAGGTAAACAAAACAACTTTCTTGTTGTATTGGAATAGGATTTGTTTTCCACAAGCGAATATTACAGTGTGGCCAAGTAGTATGCTGCTTTTCAAGGGGAAATCCCTTTCATCCTAAGGAATTCATTCTCGAACTGCATGCAGTATCAGCTTTGGGCATGGTGCCTGGCAATGCCTGGGAGCAGACAAGGAGGTCTCCACCCTGCTTTCTGTGCGCTGTGTCAGCACCATGTCCTCGGCTCCAGAGCCAGCTGACAGAGTGGTCATCAGGGAAGAACAGGGCCTGACACAGACAGGCACCTGTTATTCTGACTGCGTGCCTGAGCCTTGTTAGAGCTGGCTGGGGCTCTTCCATTAAACTGTCAGAACTGATCTCTGAATTAAAACGCGCTAATTCTATCCCAGGTACACACCCTGTAGCAAAGGGAGAGTTCTGAGAGGAGCTGGCCTGGAGCAGAGGTGCTGTTGCTGAGTAGCTGTTGCCCACATGACAGAGGCAAATCAATATCCAGTTTTTAACATCTTTATTAAGAAATATCAAAAGGTGCTTGGAGATCCATACACAGTTTTACAAAGTTTAAGTGAAGGAGAAAGGAGGGAGGTCATCGATGTGCATGTTTAATCCAAACAGGAGTTCACAGGAGAGGGGAGCTTTGCCTCCCTCTACCTGGATGAACACTGGTTCACAAAACAGTCCTTTCCCACATCCATGCGAGCACAGCACAATGGGTTACCAGAGTGTTCAGACCCTACAAATACTTCTTGACAATCCATCTTGTGATTTCATCATTCTCCTTCCCTGACGAAAGCTGATCTGTTTATAGAAAACACCACAGGCAAGCCTCCATTCACTCCAGATTCTAATACATTTTCACCAAGCCTGCTTGGAAAACTTAAGAATCCTAACAAGTCAGAGGTCACCACAGCACACCGGGGGAAAGAACCCACACACACAAACACACACACACACACATACAGTTCCTTTTCTATTGAACATTTTTTTGTTTGTTTGTTTAACAAAGAGAAGGAATCAATTTGGAAAGAAACACCACAGTCGTTGAGTGGAGTCATGGCTGACAGGACTGGCCTGCTCAGGCCACTGAGCTCCAGTCACAAGGGGTCCTCAGGCTGACCCGGAGCACGCAGAGGTGGGAACACCAGCACAAGACACAGAAAGGGATCATCTTTTGGGGGGATGGTACATCATGAACCTTTTAGTCAGGGACATAGCATCAGGGGGGAATTACACTTCCAAAATAATTGGGGCTAGTAGGTCATCGGCACCCGGTGGGAAACAGCAACAGGGTGGCGTGCCTTGGCTTGTGCTGGGTTACCGAAATGCAGACGTCTGAAGAGACCTTGTTGAGCCTCACAGGAGTGGCCACCCTCAGAGGAAGGACTCCTTGTTCACCCACATGAGGCTGCGCGTCTCGTTGGGCTTGCACTCGTACTCAATGACTGAGAAGGCGCTTCCCCACTGGCAGTGATCTCGTTTGTGGTAATTGTAGAACTTGACTTGCCACACTGTCTCGAAGGTTCCAATGTCTGTGAACTGAGGGAAGAGAAACAAGCACCATGAAAACTTCCTTCCTTTGCCAGCAATCGGCAGCAGATAACATTGGGGAGAGCACATTCATGGTTGGCTCTGGATCTGCAAAGCTTAGGCCTTTAGTTGTTCTTTTGCAGGAACCCAAGCAATGGTCTGCAAGGGTCACCCACTCCTGTGATATATGGCCTAATGAGGCTAAGCATTTCCTGGCTATGCTGTGGAGGACCCAGGTATCCCATGTAGTGCTCAGGAGCTCCAGTATTTGGGGTTTGGGCAGAATGCGTCAGGGATTTAACTTTGGACCTTGTACCTGGATGGTATGTGCTCTAAACCCCTGAGATATGTCCAGGCAAGAGTAGTGATTGTCTTTAGGTTTCTACTTGAAAAATTTGATGAAATAACATATGCAGCCTGTAACTAAACATGAGAAATAATTGCCTATCCATCATTAGTTTCAACCCCAAGGAACAATGTTTTACTGGAAGCATATGATAGGCCCTACTTTAACTTTCAAATGCTATTGTTTACTCATAAATCAGGCATTTCTATGCTCATGACTCAGGCTTATGTACCATTTCCCCAAAACCTATAGAGTCTCTACTATGTGCTGCACACATACAAGCTTTTTGTATCAGGGTTGATTTTTGCACAAGATCAATCTCAGAAAGCTTGCATTCTTTTCAGAAGACGGGCCAGCACATTATTGCAAAAAATTTTTAACAATTAAAAAACTTTCTCCTGATCCCTAAGCTTGCCATTTTAACAGAGCCAGGAAGAGGGCACAGAATGCCCCAGAGGCCAGCAGGCAGGTGCTCAAATGGCTCGAGGGGGTAGCCTGACCCTGTTACCACCTCGGGGAGCTATTTAGGGCATCTGGCAGCAAACTGCATGATGCGTGTTCTTATTTTCTTCTCCATTCCTCTCTTGTCATGGGAGGGGACAAGAACTGACTTGGCAAGATTTTTAGACTTGTCTGGAGCCAGAAAGCATGACCAGGGAGGGCCAGGAGTGCCAGGCATTTACGTGCCTCTGCCGGAGGAGGCAATCAGGTGCTTCCCCGAGAGCTTTCCAAGATGCTCTCAAAATTATATTCTGCACCATTGCCTCATCCTGTTCAACAAGAGTTGGCTTTCCTTTAGGAAATGTGCTGGCCTTGAAACAGGGACTGATATGCCTAGAAAAAAAAGCAGTTTTATTCATAATCACCCCAGACTGGAATCAGTTCAAGTGTTTTGTCATTGACCTCGTGACAGAAAAGTTTAGATTTATTATAAAATGGCATTTAATGCAAGAATGAAAAGGAACATACTGATCCAGACAACAAGAATGGCTCTCAAAAATGTGCTAAGCCAAAGAATTTAGCTCGTAAAGAATCCGTACTGGAGCCAGAGTGGTAGTCCAGAGAGTAGGGCATGTGACTTGCAGCTGACCCAGGTTCGATCCCCAGCATTCCATATGGTTGGTCCCTGATCACCAGCAGGAATAATTTCTGAGTTATTATTCAGAAGAGGAGCCGGAAGTAACTCCTGAGCATCACCAGGTGTGCCCCCCCACAAAAAAGGGGAAAAATAATCTACACTGTATGATTCCATTTATATAAAAAGTATTACCTAACATATATAGATCTATTAAGAAACATACTAGTCATCGAGCTATGAAATATATCTATGCTGATAGGAAATACCTGCAGCGACCTATTTACTGGGTAGGAGGAAGGAACTGATGACTGATGAAAATGCTCAAGAGGAAACTTTGGGTGGTGAAGGGAACTTTTTCCATCTGGGTTGGCTTGGTGGTTATAAGATGTATGTTTGTCAAAACTCATGGATCAGTATACTTTTATTAGGTGCCTTTATTATATATAGCATTTCTTCAAAGTTCAATAAAAATTAAAACATTTCTTTTTAGTGAATGACAGTATTTTACTTCTTTTGAGGGGGGAGGTCACACCCAACGATGCTCAGGGGTTCCTCCTGGCTCTGTACTCAGGAATTAATCTTGGCAGTGCTCTGGGGACCATATGGGATGCTGGGGATCGAACCCGGGTCAGCTGCGTGCAGGGCAAATGCCCTACCCGCTGTACTATAGCTCAAGCCCCTTCGACAGGTATTTTAAACATCACCTGTGGGAAGTACATTAGACAGGCTTTTGGAAAGGTCATATGTATGGGGAGAAAGGTATGATTATACTTGAGGTTGGAGATGCCACTTATAATTCATCTTACAAACATGACAGCGTTGGGCTGAAGAGATGGCTCTGAGATCAGCACCTAGCACTATTGCCCCTACCCAGCACCTCTGACCTGAGCAGGCTTGCCTCAAGTGAACCCAGTATTTTGAACTGGTTTATGGAGTGATGTCCCCCCAGCCTGGCACTGTTTGGGAGGACCTCTAATAAAAGAACATCACACTATTTAGAGTAGTGAAAATTTGCATGCTCAATGACTGTCTTCAAGACACTAATTACTTATGGTGCATTCACCTAGTGGAAAACTTTTAAGAGATATAAACATAAATATTTAGCAAAATTTTGTATTATTCTATATGGTTACCTGAACTAAGCATGATATCAACAAAATATATAATATTAATTCCATTAACATGGTAATATGGAAATACTAATGGAATAGGTTTTATTTTCTTATGTATACTTATTTGTATTTTCAAGTTTTAATGACTTATTATAATAAGGAAATTTTAAGTCAAACTGTATTTACCAATATTACCAAAGTGTAATATACCCTAAATTTAAAATGTTGTATGATTTAGTATGAACTTTTAAGAGCATTTGGATAAAAGTGAAACACAGTTTTACAAAAAAAGGTATTCAAATGTAGTATTAGTAATAAAAGACAAACTTTTACAGAAATGCTATTTACGTATCGACTTAGCATAAATAACTTTTAAATTCTTAAGGGAAGCTAAGTATCTAAAATTATGTAAATATGAAAAAGAGGATATACTTATGCAATGGACTTATATAGTCATCAGAAAGGAATTTAGGTTTTTTTTTTCTTTTTGGGTCACACCCCGCAATACTCAGGGGTTACTCCTGACTCATGCACTCAGGAATTACTCCTGGTGGTGCTCAGGGGACCATATGGGATGCTGGGAATTGAACCCAGGTCAGCTGTGAGAAAGGCAAACGCCCTACCTGCTGTGCTATCGCTCCAGGCCTGATTTTATGGTTTTTTTTTTTTTTTTTTTTTTTTGCTTCTTGGGTCATACCTGGCAATGCTCAGGGGTTACTCCTGGCTCATGCACTCAGGAATCATTCCTGGCGGTGCTTGGGGGACCATATGGGATGCTGGGAATCGAACCTGTGTCAGCCATGTTGGCTGCATGCAAGGCAAACGCCCTACCTACTGTGCTATTGCTCCAGCCCCATCGAATTTCTGGTTTTTAAGTAATAAAAAAATTGCTTACAAGAGTGGTATAGTAAAAATATGACAAAAGCAGTTTTCATAATATATAGAATAAATTCAAACCTATAAAACAAGACAAATAGGAAAAAAATAAAAACAATATAATTCTAAAGAAATTCAGTGTTTTTTTCTATTTAACTTTTCTGTGATAGCTCTTATTTTTATATCAAACAGACTTAAAATTGTGAAATGAAATTATTCCTTAGAAACTCTACATCTGCATTTTTATACCTGTATATATTTCAAACCCTAGGAGTTTTAGTATACTTTTTTTGGTGCTGGGGATCAAATCCAGGCCCTCAGAACACCCAAATCATTGAGTCATATCCCTGGTTGAAACCCTAGGGATTTCAGACAGTTCTACCTTGGTGGAGGGAGGAAGAAACTCTAGTGGTAGGTGTGGTGTTGGAATGATGTATGCACAAAAACATGGTTAACAGTATTACAAACCACAATGCCTTGCAAAAGATTAAAAATAGAATATCTGAGAAAAAATGGAATCTAATGAAAATATTACAAGTTTATTGATAATAGAACATGACGGCAAGAATAAACTATAATCTGTAGAAGTCTAATATCCATGGCCAGGGAAAACAGGGGTCAGGAGGTCTGGTCAATGGCGGATCTAACCACAAGTGTGTGTGGGGCTGAGGATAGGAAAGAAAGAGAAGAGACCACTATGATAATAATAGCAGGGAATGATCATGCTGGACAAGATCTGAGGATTAAAAGTAGGTAAGGGATGTTCTTGATAACCTTTCAGTATCAATATTGCAAACCACAATGCCCAAAAGGATAGAGAAAAAAGGGGGGGATGGAGGGAGAGGGAGTCAGAGAGAGACAGAGAGACAGAGAGACAGAGAGAGACAGAGAGAGAAGAAAAGTGCCTGCTAAAGAGGTAGGTAAGGGGTGGTGGGTGGGGGTGATAGAAGGGAACCTGGGGTTCTGGTGCTGGGAAATGTACACTGGTGGAGGGATGGGTGTTGGAATACTGTATAACTGAAATTCAATCATGAACAGGTTGGTAATGCTCTAAAATTTTTTTGAAAGGAATAAACTATAATCTCATATTATCGAGAATTTCAAAGAGAATTTAGTATAACTTTCTGTTAATTTTGGCCTGTACAGGATATTACAGTTTTTGAAGTGTAACTGAAGTCAGGCTGGAGCGATAGCACAGCGGGTAGGGCGTTTGCCTTGTACGCGGCTGATCTGGGTTCGATTCCTCCATCCCTCTCGGACAGCCCGGCAAGCTACCAAGAGTTATTGCTCCCCGCACAGCGGAGCCTGGCAAGCTCCCCATGGCGTATCTGATATGCCCAAAACAGTAACAATAAGTTTCATAATGGAGATGTTACTGGTGCCCGCTTGAGCAAATCAATGAATAATGGGAGGACAGTGCTACAGTACTACAACTGAAGTCAGTAAGTTACAAAAACCTTTTTAAAAACTAGCAAAGTAGCTTGATGCCATGCTAGATAAGTAGGAGAAGTTGGGGACTTTTCTGAGATGGATATAAATTGGCTGTAAAAATTAAATAACCCAATCAAATCACATGACTATGACCATAGGCAAGAAA